AATTTGGCAGGTCCAAAAGCTTTCCATGGGAAAATCGTATCCAATTTCCATCGCACTGAACATCCAGGTGCAATGGAAGAGAGGGACCACACATAAACTCCCCACATACCACAAGGGCAATAAGAAAAAGGTATATTAATTGTTGAACTACACAATCGAGGGTCTGCCGCGTCGCATTGACCTAATGTGAGATTGACGGAATGGCAAGCTTTCATAGTGTGCAGGCGAGCCGACTTGACAACGCAAGGATGAATCAAAAAAATCTCAAATATGAAGTCCCATAAGGCGCAGTAAGCTCGTGTGTGGCACGTTCGAAAGACCTCTACAAGTTCTATTTAACAAGCCCAACATCACCAACATCAAATTCTATTTTATTTTATTTTTTTATTTTTTTTCCCTGGATCATTTCTCGATTGATGTGTGTCACCCTTGCACAAGGCCCATGCTAATCTTCTCTGTATCGTTCGAATTTTAAACCGCTAGTAGATGGCCCCAGCCTTGCAGAAACTTTTTGTCGCCACAAACAAAACTCGGAGGCGTCGTGGCACGTTCGGAAGACCTCTACAAGTTCTATTTAACAAGCCCAACATCACCAACATCAAATTTCGGTTGTTGTTTTTTGTTGTTGTTTTTTTTTCCTGGACCGGTTCTCTATTGATGTGCGTCACCCTTGCGTACGGGTCATGCTAATCTTCTTTGTATCATTCCAATTTTAAACCGCTAGTAGACGGCCCCAGCCTTGCAGAAAGTTTTTGTCGTCACAAACAAAACTCGGAGTCGTCGAGCGGCCAGGCCCGCCGTTGAAAAAAAAAATTGGCGGCCGTCAAAGTGGTGCACGTTTAATGCTGACACCCGCGAGCCGATATGTGGTGTACTGGTGCTTTAACGGATGTCCCAAAGGACACAAACAATAGATTCCTGATACGTGTATAATTGCAAAAATGTTTGACAGAGTCTTCATGGGAGGAATCCACAAACCCCTTGCTCAAGCCAACGTGACAGGCTGCATGAGATTGTGGCAACATGGCAATAGGATGCAAAAAGGGAGGAAGAGCAGGGAGAAATATTTGTTTTGATACCAATGGAAGGGTATCAGGGGAGTGGGATCACTCAAGCACATAACGAAGATAACGCTCCGACAGCCAAAAAAAAAGAAAAGGGACACCAACATAAGGACTGAATGAAAATGGCAGAGGACAACAATATAATGGAGTTGGGGTTGGTCCCTCGTGGCCAAGCAGGCAGGCGAGGTTTTTGTGGACCAGTGTTGTGCAGTAGAGCTAGACTGACGGCCTGGTCACACTATGCTGCAGGTCGGGCCCAAAACAAATGGGGTCTGCGTAGTGTCGCTACATCGTGCAGTGATCCCCTTAAGTGAAGATCCCAAATTTACTCTTCATAAGTATTGCACCTTCATCCTTATTCCCCTTCAGCTATGAACTTCTATTGTCGGCATCTTCAGCTGACTAGTAAAACTTTGCCTTCCACATTTTTGTTTGCTACGTTTACTTTTTACAAGCATACACCACTTACATTGGTTATCGAGATTTCCTTCATTCTGTTACACCTTTTGGTAGGGTTACTGTTTTTTCCCTCATCCTTACAAGTGTGCTTTTATCGCTCTTACATCATTACTTCCAAAACTTTGTATAATAGACTCTTTTTGTCATTGAGTGGTGTTGTGCTAATTTATCATTGTCTCTAGAATGACATATAGATTAGTTGCTAGTTTGACCTCCAGTTGGGTCTTATTTCATGAGGTAAACCCATTTTTTTCTTTTCCTCTCAGTTAGAGAGCTTGTTTCAACTGTGTTTGGGATATAGTTGGGCACTTAATCAAATTATTGGTTCGCACTGAGTCAAATGGCTTGGTAAGGGATGCTTTGTCGACTTCGCTTCATCTTAGGTTTTGACTGACACTTGATTTGCACAGAGTAAGTTACTTCACATATTTAAGGTTTGATTTCATGAAGAAAGCAGGGCTTCCTTCCTTGTCCGATTGTAGTGGTCAAATGATCAGTTGCAATCTGTGTAGCACCTCGTTTACGTTCGCCGGCAAATGTGTGTGTTGCCTGCCGAACACAAACACATGCCAAGAACCCCGCAAACGCAACTCCTTTTTTCCCTTAGTTTAGCTCCTTTCGGGGTTCCGGGGGAGCGTATCGAGGAGGGAAGAGGGTCCCGAGGAAAATATCCAGGGGGGAGGAGGGTATCGAGCGTGTGAACGAGGAGTGAATTGAGGATGAGAGGCGGAGAATGCAGATGATAAGGCAGTCGAGGAGGCGGCGGAGGTGGAGGAAAGCTATGTAATCGCGTGTGCCAAAACCATCTTTTTTTTTTTCTTTTTTTTTTTTTAATCGGTCATCCAGCACAATCAATCAATTAATCAACCAACCAACCAATCAATCAATCAATCGATCGATCAATCAATGAATGAGGCATCCACCACTCAATCAATCAATTGACAACACACACACACACACACACACACACACACACACACACACACACACCAAATAAACCCGCCATCCCGTCCATCCACACCCTCCCCCCCCCCTCTCTCTCTATATATATATGTACGGTGAAACTCCGACAAAACAGTTTGTCACAGCCCCTCGTTTGTTGTCCTCTTCTCCCTCTATGCCTACAGTTTACCGTGCAGCTCTGTTTGACGATATATATATATATATACATCATACTTGCGAAGCATCACGTGCACGCGAGTTGCGCACATGAGGCGCATAGCGCACGCTCATGCACGCGGGCGCACGTGGTGCAGCGCATCCCGAAAATAAGGGTCAGTAAAAAAAATTGGGAAGGACAGGGTGTGGTGGCCAAATATGCCCCTCCCTTCTACAAATTCAGAGTGAAAAAAACATTAAAAAAATTAGGGCCAAGTCGAGCCGAAAACCGTGTGTGCATGTCCTAATTGGGATCCAATCTCTTTTCCAGAGGACCCTTGCAGAAAACTTGCAAGGACTCGTCACCAGACAGAGCTGGTCTTCGAAGTGTGGGATAGGAGCGAGCACGCCAATTATATATGCTCTTTATTCGAATTCAATTTTTTTTTTTTTTTTTTTTTTTTTTTTTTTTGCTGGAAAACGGGTCCAGCATCCCATTGAATATATGAATGCTTGAGTACATGGTAAGATGAAGATCATTGATGTCTGTGTTGCCTGGGAGAACATGGTTGTACTTCCTAAGGGTTTCTCTAGCATCTGAAAATGTTGGGGTGTCTCGAGCTATTCCGGAACCGTACAACACCTCTTCGCCCCCTCTCTTTGTGGCGCCAGATCTTTGTGACCAAACCAGTGCTGTATTTTCAGTGACATACACTCCTTTCTTGGGGTAGATGCATAAACCCCTAAACCCTTACTCCTCTCCCTGGTGTCTAATACCCTGGCAGCATCTTTTCCACAAATCAATACGAACATAACATCACGATGGAAGGAACTCAATGCACAAATATGCCATTTGTACACACAAAGTGAGATAAAGCAAAGAATACAAGAATTCAGCAAATGTTGGCTTGCGGGGGAATCAGGGGCGAAGATAAGAAAGGTAGAATGGCATGGGGAAGTAAGAGAACAGGGAAGGATGCAGGGCAACAAGTATCGTCTCGTCTTCAACGACTGGACCAAGCTAGATAGTCCAATCCCTATGAGACCTTGTAATGAATTTCCTGACTTATTTCCCCCCCCCAACAAATAGTTTGGTAGGAATAGACTGGCACGGGGGAGAAGGATGGGGGGCTGTTCCAGATACACGTGGGGGAGCTTAGGGGCTCCAAAGTTAAGATGGGAGAGGAAGAGACTAACTTTTTTCAAGTGGACACAGGGGGAGGGATTCAAAGGCTAAAGTGCGAGAGGAAGATACTAGCTCCTTTTAAGTGGATACAGGAGGAAGAGGTTTCTCCCTCCAAAAAATGGGGGAGGGAGGAATTAGTGTGTAGCATTCTGGCAGTATGAGTGTCCTGAGCAAATCATGGCTACTCGGCATGATTAGGAGTGAGTAGAATCAACGCTAAATAGTACCAGGCCTTAACTGTTTTATCTGGCGCCCTTTTTTCAAGGGTGAAGAGGACACTATTTAGGGTTGCTCAGTCAATCCCCTAGGTTGCAAGGCAATCAATGTTTGCAGACCTCTCACTCACTGTTCTCATTGTTCGCAGATATCCTCATTCTCTGTATATGGGACACTGGACCCGCTTTCCAGCAGGTGATGCTCCCCACCAATAGATAGAGCCTCTCTCCTGGTGTTAGTGGTGTCTTCTCTTATCAGCAGCACTAACACTGGTTGGGGCGTATTTTCAAAAAAAAAAAAAAAAAAAAAAATCCTCAATCTCTCTCATATCATTCCAAATCCACCAAGCAATTTGATGGGGGGGGGGAGGGATCAGGGAATTTTTCGCTGGGTCTCATCGGGATTGTTATATCGATCTTAGTTCACTCATGAAAAAGGAGTCAGTAGTCCCTCACTAGAACCTTTCTCCCTTGTCTCTCCCCTAGGTCATTTGTCACCCTTTCCATTCCACTTTCGCTATCCTCCCCCCATTGTCCCCCCCAAGCCATCTCAAGCTAAATTCCTTGATTTTTTGTTGAAAATCTTTTTGTGAATGTAGTAATTGGACATGTGCCTTAAACCACCATTTTCATAACCTCTAAAGGCGCATGCGAACCTGCTTGGATACGTTTGCCCGAGCTTGAGTGAGCATGTTTACCACCGTGTCATGACCACGACTAAGAACTTCGAACGAGAACCAGTCAGGCGGACGGACGAGGGAAGACGTTCCAAGCGTAATGGTGTTCGAAGGCGAAGGACCAAGAAGTAGAAGAGAGGTCTTACCGAGACAACGATCGAGACCGGCGGGACAACCGCCATGACAGAGTGCATGACGACAAGAGGGATAGACATCACGGCGGGGGACGAGACTACTATCAAGACGATGGATGAGAAACTTTACGGGAGCATGGTGAAACTTCGGGAGAGTATCGGCGAAGCGCGCCGCCCACATGCTTTGAATGTGGACAAGTAGGTCATTATCGAAATCAATGCTGGAAACTATCTTGCGAAGGCAGCTCAAGACCTGGTGAAGGCAGGGGATGGCAAAGGAGCAGATCACGCGAAACCTCACATGAATGTATGAGGCTGATAAAACAAGTTGAAGAACTGGGAGTGTCACTTGCATCCATGCATGGGCATATCGAGCAGGAGAAGCAGAAGACGCTCGAAAAAGAAAAAAGTAAGCAAGAGAAGATTGACAAACAACATCGCGCTGCAGCGGAGAAAGTCGCGCACGAGAAGAAGTTGGCGAGGAAGAATGCGAAGTTGAAAGAGGCAGAAGAACTGAAGATGCAAATGCAAAAGGAAATGAGGATGGAAGCAACACTTGTTGCTAGTGAGTTGCATGAACAGATATTGGGAGGTTTTTGTGAACAATTGACGGACGACATGATATGGACACTAGCGGCAGCAACGATTTATCGTAAGGGGAAGAAGAAAACAACCTCGCCTCCTCCATCGAATGCGTCGTCCACAAGCAGTGACGATACGAGTGACATGGAGCGGACTTACCAACGCACTCAAACACTAACGAAAACAGAGAAGCGTAAACGAAGTGCGGATAAAGCGGTGGGGAACAGTCCATCGATGACGCAACCAAGAAAAATGACACCTGGGACTACGGATGTGCAGCCAGTGCGACTAACTACTAAGTTACAGTGTACTACGCGCAAGACGAAGGAAAATAAGACTCCTCCGCGTTTCACCCCACGATGGGGGACTCCACGTACGAAGGTCGCGGCCACGACTGGATCGGTAGGAAGAGCACACTTCATCTGTGAAAACATATGTGCTCTTGCGGATTTGGGAGCAGACGAGCTCAAGGACATTTGTAGGAAGAAGGACGTGGAGTATGAGAAGAAAACTATTGCAGCTATGGACATCGCTAAGAAGCAAGCAGTCGTACCATACGAAAGCGAAGAGGACGAGACCATGGGAAGTGATAACAAGAATGAGGGTACTAAGCAAGAAGGTGTCGAGGAGTCCGAAGACGAAGGGGTGGAAGCATGAATCTTCGAAGATACTAGCCGCTTGTGGATCTTATACACTTGGTTGCTCGACTACCGGCGAGCGTCGAACTTTGAGGCGCAAGTGGAAAAACTTTACAGACTTACAAATATGCTACTCACTTTGGCAGAAGAAATCAGATGGTTATCGAAATGTATTGACTCATGGGTACGGATGTACGCTGAAGTGGGAATTGACTTCGTTGAAGCAACGAACGCGGTGAATACGCTAGCCTCACCTCATTGCTAGGCAAAATATGTGGGACAAACAAGTCGGCATGTGAACGTGTGGTGGCAAGAACATATTCTCGATGTGATAGAAGAAGCAAGGACACACACCTATATCGTTGGTGCCGTGACTTCGGATGAGAATCATATGTGTTGTTGCCAATTGAAATTTGTTTTGAGGCGAAACTGCTCGCCTTCGAACAATTGTATATACACCATTGGAATTCGTCATTGAACACCAACGGGGTTCGTCAAAGGAGGAAGAGACGCAACACAAAGCGAAGAGGAAAACGTGAGCGGGAAAGGACACAGTTGGGTGGAGACGTGGCGCAGACAAGCGGACGAGTAAGACCCGTTGGGATAAGGATTGAATGACTCACAGTGGAGCAGTTTGACATCTTCAGCACAATCACCGACATGGAGAAGCAAGGTGTGCGTAAGTTCAAGATAATGTCCACCGGCGGCAATTGTTGGCTAGACGGATGGAAGAAAATTAGGAAGGTGTTCGGGTCGACGACCGTCACCTGCGAAGGTGGGGCATCGACCTAGGCGAAGTGCAAGCGGAAGCTAGAGGAGGGAGGATGTGTGACAATACGGTATCTACGACGATGCCATAATCGGGGTAGCTGTACAAACAATAATTGATCAAACTATTACATGATCCTGGATGGATAGGGGAGCTAAAGCATCAGGAAATCGAGGAGTTATTTCGATTGTACCGAGCAATGAAGGAATTCCAGAAGAAGTCGACACGATCATATTTACGGAGGATCATCGAGCGGGTGATCAAAGAAGTTTCGGGGTGGATCATGTGTGCGAACATCAGCGTCAAATTGAAATTTGACGACCGAGTAAGGTTGGTGGAGGTTCGAAAAGTAGTAAACAACAAGATCGAAGAATTCGAACTGCCACCATGCATGATGAAGCGAGCACGTAGCATGGTGAGAATCGTTTGGACAAGCAATCCAATGGTTTCCAACTTGTTACACAATCAGCGTACGTACGCGAGTGTTGACGTCTGCACGTTCACTTGTGTAGAGTTACCCTATCCTAGGATGGGAGACCATGTGCGATTCGGACTGCATGACTTGGAGGACATACACCCGATGCTGTATACTGCGAAGAACATCCCACGGACACCACATCCGCATCGAGCAAGGCTGCTGAGAAGCAAGATTGAGGATGCCTTCAACAACTAGCCCAATCGAGGGGCGAAGGAAAGGTAGGTGACAGAGGAGGATGTCAATCAGTGTATGAGAGAAGCAATGAGGCAAAGTGAGAAGTATGTGGAAATCGAAAAAGTCAACGAGCTGAAGAGCAAATTGACCGGTTTGGTATGCACTCCACTAGACAAGAACCCGGGCGAGACCCTTGTGCTCTTCCCGGCGTTGTACCACGAAGCGATGCTAACCACGTTCGTATGCAACACCGGGTACAAGATCATGGAGATGAATGAGGCGGCGATTGTGGAGAAGATGAGCAGCGATGCGACAGCGACTGGGTTGAAGCAGTTTGTGAAGATAAACAGGAAGGGAATGTTCGGTTGTGCTTATGTGCAACCAAAGCACAAGGATTTTGACAGATACCGTTTTATCTGCCCATCCTACTGTGACCCAACTGTAAAAATGTTGAGAGCAGCAGCCAAGGCATTGAATCACCTGCTCTACTCACTACCAGCGAAGTGGCACTTTAACTTGAAAGCAGTGTCGGGCCTGGTGCCAAGGATAAAGCAAATAAATAAGAGGATTCAACAACTACCCATACGCGACTTGCAGTTATCTGCGATGTCGTACAACATCAAATATATGTTCAATAAACTGCCTCACGCAGACATTTTGTAGGCGGTTGACTGGATTGTCGACCACTTCCGAAGGAAAGGGAAGACATCAGTACGAGTGAATACCAGAGGACGCGGGTGCTTGTTTGGACGCACCACAAGCGTCGATCCTTGGCGGAAGATCGACTTGGAGGACTTGAGGCGTTTTGTTAGATTTGACCTTCGACACACATACATTAAGGCTACAGGTGTCCTCATGAGACAGGTGGCCGGCATTCCCATGGGAAAAAGCACCAGCCCACCACTAGCGTGCATTTTGTGTACACATGCTGAGTTCAAGTTCCTCTGCGAAGAAGGTAGTTCGCAATCAAGAATTTTTGGTATCCAACTTATTGATGACGTGAGCATCGTCATCGCAACAAAGAAAGGTGATGAAGGGAGGGGGGATTTTATCCGTGCGGAGTTTGAGAGGTGCTACCCGAGCAATCTGAGCTTGAAGCGTACGGGCAAAGGTGAAAAGTATTGGGATTTCCTTGGGGTGGTGATACGACAACAGAACGTGGTGCCTTTCATCACGTGTGTGCAGATTTCGAAGAATGAAAAGACTGTGTGGACAGAAGATCGTTTGGATTTCAAAATTGGGCAAGGATACCACTAATGGGGCAGCAAACTCCAAAAAAGTGCGGTCGTCGCAAGTCGACTGCATCGGATCGAGATGAACACGACTGTGCGTAGCAAGCTACCTGAGAAGGTGCTGACGTTGGTGGATTTTCCTCTGAAGTTCATCATACGCGTTCTGAAGAGTTTTGCAAGGGGAAGAGATGCAATTTGGGAATGCATTGCTACATGGTTAGCTGCATAACCCGAGGGATGGGCCACACCAGTAGGGATGGAGTGATAAGTGTAATGTGACGATTGCATAGTCCAAGTGTGTTTCATAGGACGATAAGGCGTGTCATTTTGTAGTGACGAGTGCATAGTATAAATGTGTTTCGCATGATGTTAAGACACCAGCATGGATGGAGTGAGCAGCGTAATGCGACGACCGTATAATCCAAGTGTGTTTTATAGGATGTGAAGGTGTGTTGCGTTGTAATGGGAACGGGATTGAGTTGAAGTGGTGTCCGGTGACGGGGAAGCAGCGGGTGGTGTGGTGTGCACTGGGTTTCTATTTGAATGAGTTTTGCATGGGTTACTAAGAGCAAGTGTGGTTTGTTGCGTTAACTTTAGTACGTAGGGACAGGCCCCTCTCACACAGGTTTCTGTCGGTACGAGCGAGACGTAGGATACTACGAGTAAATGTCTGGTGTGGTGTGGTTTGCAGTGTTAACTGTAGTACGTGCAGCGTGAAGGATTTGTCAGCGTTGGATTGGATCCTAACTGTGGATACGGATAGGGCCCGCAGGTAGGCCACCGAGCTAGGTTTTTTGCTGGTACCGGAACCTTTGCCCCTTGGGGGTGCTGTTCTCGACCGTTTTCTATAGCGGTCAGTAGACTAGAACTCTATATCGACAATTGTCGGTCCTTCTGGGTCCTACTTCGCAGACACTCCGTCATTTCCAAAAATGTTCGGAGTGAAAGCGGTCACGGGAGAGTGTGGAACGATGGGCTGAGTCGAGGGTGAAGTATCTGGTGGTAAGCCCCCTGAAGACCACCGCATGGCGGCGGTCAAAACCGGTCGGGGTATCCATACCCAGCGTCACATGTGCAGTTCTTGTTGATTGGATTGGATACTTGATTTGTACTCCGCGACTTTCTTTGTTTGCCAAAGTACTTGACTGTGACACTGTCGAGTTTGCTCACTTGTCACGACGACACATGTTCATAACCTAAACCACCAGTACTTGGCCCAACTATCGGCTGCCGAAAAAAAAAAGAGTAGAAACGTTTCTAGTCGGGTGAACTTGGGCACTACTGTGGTAGTCCGTACGTTTCCTAAAATACTCGGGCATTAACGAGCATGACTCTAGGAAGTACTGGTGGTTTAACCTTCTCCCACTTTGTCCTTATTTCTGTTTGGATCTGTTGTTGTATGCTTTCCGTGAATTCTGATCCTTTCAGTCTTGCTCTTTCCATTTTGTATGTGCAACGTCAGAGGGCCTAGAGTACCGCCCTACGTCCCAGTTTGAACATGTTGCTGGTGAAATCGTCCAGGTGATCCTTAGCCAAGCATTCGCACAGCAAGGCTTTCCAATCCCACAACCACTGGATTTGAGTTTCTAGTTGTTCCCGGATTCTATCCCACCATGTCCACAACCACAACACTCCTGGGCACTGAAAAAATATATGTTCACTTGTTTCTGCCACTTTTCTAAATGGAAACTAAAAAAATATATGCCCTGGTGCATAGCCTACACCAGGGCGGGGCTTGCCCTCTCTGTTGTAGGCTTGTCCTATCTATCAGCCAATCATTTGTCAGTAGGCAGCGGTGCTCAATCTGCCATTGCAGTGAGGCAAATTTTGCTGTGTTTTCCTTGATCGTGCTAAACCACCTTATATCTCCTACCTTGTTCTTGTCGATGTTTAGGTGGTTCATCCAGCATGCTTCCACCCGATCATGAAGGTTTATTCTCGGCCTAAGGAGTCTATAGGGCGATTTTATCGTTATGCCATATAATGATGGAGTGAATTTTATGTCCTTCCCCGCTGACATTGTCCATGACCATTCTAACGGGTCCAGGGCGAGTTGGTGAACCGAGACTCAGAGGAGGTAGGTGATCCATTGCTCTTTTTCATGAAGAACCCTAGTTCTGAATAGTTTTTCCTTTTGGTATAATTTTTTTTCTTCCGGAGAGGTTCTTTGAAGGACATCGTTCCAACTTACTTGGAGGAGGTTTACTCTAATTGATCTTTTTGGCCCGCAGTAGACTACATTGCCCCCCTCACTTGATCGATCCCTCAACGCCACCCAGTCCGATTCCTATAGGATAGACCTTTCTTGCGGATTCTAGCTTCCACGGCTTCCTCCGGTTAATGACAGTAGCGTAGTCTCTCTCTTGGCTGGTCCGGGTCAATCCAGTTTCTCTTTTCTGTATCCCATATGTTTTTTATCCTTGTTATTCCTCGCCTGACCCAGCCCTGCCACGAGGAGTCCATGCAATAGAGGGTTTTGTCCCTTCGCGTCTGCTAGCCATTTGTTTATAAAAAAGGGTTGTCGTACCACCTCTTCTTACCTCTGTGGTGGAGTTCTATCTGACAAGGGAAGACTTTTTCATATTTTCATAAGGTCAGGCCAAAAGGATTCATTGCGCACACCGGCCTTTGCTGTTTGTCTGGGTGAGTCGGGGAGGGGATCACAATGTTGCGCACCTCTTCTTGGGATGGGCCATGCCCTATTTTTCAGCCACATCAACAGGTCACTCTGCTCCAATGTTTGTGGTACTAAACGGGTGAAGAGTCATTGTATAGCTAATGCTTTAGTCTTGGGATGGGCCAAGTGGATTATAGATTGAAGAGTAAACGTTCGAGTCATTGTATAGCTAATGCTTTAGTCTGTATCGAATGATCGATAATGCCTAGTCCACCTTTCAATTTGGGTTTGGATTATGGATTATCAAGCCACTCTGCTGATCACGATGCTCTTCTCGTGATTTCCTCGCCCTAGGAAGGCGGCTATCTAACACTGCAAAGGGCGAAGGGCGTTCTTGTCTAATGCCCAAATAGCTGATTTGTACCACAAGGAGATCAGTATCACGCTATTAATTACTAGGGAGCGTCCAATCAATGAGGTATGTTTGTCCTTCCACAGTATCATTTTTTCAAGAGTGTCAGTTGACAGTCTGCCTTCTGCTGACATCAGCACCCCCAGTAATCTAATGGGAGCATCCTTTGGAAGCCATTTGAGTTTGGGTTCTTCCGGGGGTCTCACTCCTTGGTGGTGTATCCACCAGCCTAGGGTTTTGTTTCCCCATTTGACTTTCATATCAGAGTCTACAGAAGCGGTTCATCATGTGTTGGATCTCTGCCATTGATTCATGGGAGGCCTCTATTATTAATGTCAAGTCATCTGCAAACAATGAGCAGACCGGAATTGCCTCCTGTGGTATTGAAGACACTTGAATTTTCTTGATATTCTTATGTCTTCTCAGATTGGTTGCCAGTGCCTCCATGACTATGACGAACAAGTAAGGGGCTATAAGGTCGCCTTGCCTGACTGACCTTTGGAGAGTAATGGGCGGGGCTAGAGTCCCATTCACCATAACTCTAGTCACCGCGTTCGTGTGAAGGATTTTTACCCAACGTCTGAAGCACGGTCCATTTATCTAGGAACCAGTCCACATGGTCATATGCTTTCTCAAAGTCAATGAAAATAATCGCTGCATTGTGTTTAGATTGTCTTGTTAACTTAATCATTTTATTTACCAAAGAGGACATTGTCCTGGATGTTCCTACCCTTAACAAAACCGGTTTGGTCAGGGTGTAGAATGTCGATCATGACTGATACCATAAGGTTAGTTAGGGCTTTAGCCATTAATTTATATACTACTGTGAGCAAGGTGATGGGTCTGTAAGTCCTAATGTTGGCCCTTTCCCCTTATTTGTACAGGAGCATCAGTACTCCCTGACTCACTATTTCCCCTGTCTCGCCTGTTGCCTAGACTGTAATTATAACGCTGTCCATACTTCCTCTTTTGTTAGAGGCTTGTCTACATCTTCTCTTTGTTGCTCTTTGAGTGTTTTGTTTAATGGGCACAATAATTCTTCAATTTCCTCCATTCGTTGTGCAGTAAGTTTCCACATTCCGCTGTGAATAGGGCCTGGTAGAAGTCCCTTGATATTTTTTGTGCAGGCTGCTGTGGATGTGTGTAAGGGGTCATGGTTACATTCAGGGTCTTCGAAGGCCTCAATTACCGATCTTCCTGCCTTTGCTTTGTCCATTGCGAAGAACCTTGCATCCATTGCACCTTCCATGTTGTGTTTAGAGAGTTTGACTCCCTGCCATCGGTGTTCCATATATCCTAGATGGCGTGCTTTCAGGTCTGTGTTTCAGCAGTTATGGGTTATTAACTCAGCTGGGCCAGATCTCTGATCGTGATTCTCTTTTTTTCCTTTTTCTTTCGAATACGTGCAGTGGCCCTGGGGACCACTACTCACCACATGCACACATGACAGAACATATGGCGGCATATGGTTCCATGTTCTAGCAGAAGACTTGTCCTAGTTTCACACATTCAGCGAGAATCACGTCCAGAGACCAAAATGGCCTAGCTACGTTAGCAACCCGTAACTGCTGAAACATAGAGCTGAATTTGAATCAAAACTGTACATTTTTGGGTTTTCCACACTTTTGGAAATTCGGCGCCCATCCCTCCGTGGGGATAGGACCTTGCCAACATACTGGAGGGACCACTCGATTTCCTTGCCGGGGCCCTCTGATATATATGAAAGGGGGCTTAACTGCTCTCTCTCTCTCTCTCTCTCTCTCTCTCTCTCTCTCTCTCTCTCTCTCTCTCTCTCTCTCTCTCTCTGTATATATATATACAGACACATACCCCACATAGAAAGAAAAAAAAAAAAAATTGCGCGCATCATTAACGCAGCACTAATTTGCGCATGGCGCACACGCACGGCATGCCACACCGCACCAGTGCTCCGCAAGTATGATATATATATATATATATAGTCAAACAGAGCTGCCCCGTAAACCGTAGGCAGAGAGGGAGAAGAGGACAACAAACGAGGGGCTGTGGCAAACTGTTTTGTCAGAGTTTCACCGACTCATCATGAGGCTGAACCCTCAACAGTCTGCAGAATCCCCAAACTGATTACACTGTAAGTGATAATCCACCTTAACCCCGGCTGTGGCTAAGCATCAACGACTGCCCGAAAACTGATACCCTGAGGTGGGCACCAGCCACTGACCTAAGGTACCTGTGGCAAAAGTCAAAGCAGACTATCACTCACCCACACCAGATGGAAAACTCTACAGACTGTCGGTTCACACCCCATCACAAGCAAGCAAAACACCCACGAAACAAAGAAAGGTCTGTCACAGCCAAAAAATACACTCCAGATATATACATATATACATATATATCATATATAAATATATATATCGTCATATATATATATATATATGCCCGGTAAACCGGAAGGAGAGAGGGAGAAGAGGACAACAAATGAGGGGCTGTGACAAACTGTTTCATCCACAGTTTGTTCTATGGATGCCAGTGTTGTTCTGTCCTTGGTTTGACGCACGCTTGTTTGTGGTTATCTATATTTTCCTCTGTGTGTGTGTGTGTGTGTGTGTGTGTGTGTGTGTGTGTGTGTGTGTGTGTCCGTGTGTCCGTGTGTGTGTTTGTGTGTTTGTGCACCTCATGATGTTGTCTCATGTCTTCTTGTGTTGCGGTGGATCCTTTGTGAAAGCGTTGTGGGCAGCTGTTGAGGGGCTATTATTTGGTACCCAGTGTGGTGGCAATGTCCTGAAGATGACGGGGCCACCAAACCATCAAATAGAATCAACAAGTGAACTACAAGCTCCGAGCACAAAAGACGCTGCAGGCCTCCGATTTTGGTACAGCATCCCTTGAGCAAGACTGTTAGAGAGTAACCGTGGACCTGGCATTCGACATTTGGAGACGGCACCCACCCTTTCCAACTCCAGTGGATTACTGCAGACCGGCTCAGATCGACTTACCCGCCCAATGGACATATCAGGAGATCAATGCACCACCAGTGCATCTGACGTGCCATGTATGATCCCAACCGCATACCTGTCCCAGACTGAAAACGGTACTTTTCACCGCCATTTCTGACTTGCCTGCATATACAATTCTGCCAGATTCTTGGTAATGCAGCTGAACAACACAGTAACCTAACAAGCGTCAGGCTGAACTGTGCGAAGGCGTAGATTCATGCAAACTGACCCATTTTCAACTGGTCTTAGGTGGCCCCAAGGCGGTCCCAAAGATATGGAAAAGAACAGTGATAGACAGCAAAGATTTGTACAACTCTGTGTGCAAGCATGCGACACACACAGAAAAAAGGAAAACGAAACGTCCAATAACTCTGGATTCTCACAGAAAAAAGGAAAACAAAACGTCCAATAACTCTGGATTCTCCATTAACCAGAAGCGAAACAGAAACAAAACCAAAGGCCTGCTCAGCTTCCCCACCAAACCTATTCAGACAGCCGGCACAAAAGACTAGTCATGCTGTTTATCCTGCCCCAGCCACTACCGCAAAGGGTTTTTGACAGCCTCCTTGTGTGTGGAAGGTTAGGTTCCTATTCCAATGTAATAAGACCTGCACCCAGTAGATCATAGCCTAGGGTGAAAAGAAGAAGAAGAAGAAGAAGAAGAAGAAGAAGAAGAAGAAGAAGAAAGTGCAAAGCAATCGGATTGTGATCACCAGCCCTTGCTCTAATCACCAGGGTAGGTGGAAGGCTGAGAACGCAGGAGAACAAGTCTGCCAGTCGGACAAAAGTTCTATGGTGACACAAGCAGATCATAGTCTAGCGTGGAGACAAAAAAAAAGAAAAAAAAAGAAAGGGCAAAGCGATCTGATTGCGATGACCAGCCCTTGCTCTAATCACCAGGGTGGGCGGCTACGCTCTCAGCCTTCAGCAGAAGACGCAGCAGAACAAGTCTGCCAGTCGGACAAAAGTTCTACGGCGAGACAAGTCTTTGACAGAAACGACGGGTGTCGTTTGCTAAGGACACCAAGAATGGAGACATACCTACAACCTCCAGCCGCACCCGCATGCCGTCATACACAGTTACAAGTGCTGCTGCTGCCCAGATAGTACTTGCGTCCTCCCTCGCACAACGAATTATGGCCTTCAGACTTTCTGGTTCATACATCACGAACTCAAAAACGGGGATAGCTTCATCAGGTCCACACTGACGGGCCCTGCTTTTCAGAGACGACAACAATAATGAGCTCACAATTTTCTTGAATTTGCTGCCCAAACCTCCTCGTTTATCTAAAGGCTGTTCACTGTGAAGCTTTAAAATAATGTACATGGACGGACAACGCAGGCATAAAGATCTCTGAGAAGGGATGGGCACCGCCGCTTCACGCGCCACCTCTTCCGCATTCTGCTGCAGATCAGGCTCACACTGCAAACTCGGTTCGTCACATGCAAGTCCATCCATCGCTTCCAGTCGATGGTTTCTCCTTCTCCAGCGACCGCTTCCCCCAACTTTTCACACAACAGACAAACCAGCCGTCCTTTCTCTCTTAACCCCTCTGCATCCCCACGTTGAATTCTATTCAAATACCTTCCCCACTTCCTAGTTGCTGAAAGCGATACTGTCACAATCAGATAGACATGTTCAGGGATGTCCACAGCTGCGAGCCCCAGCCATTGTAAGGCTCCATGCTGCAACCTGCAAGCCATCCCAACAACTGGTATGAGATCCCAAAAATTGACCGACAACAACCGATGACTGCAGCATTTCAATATCTATCATATCTTCTCTATTATTAAAGTAATAATCTTAACATGCTGTGAATGACCCCTTGTCCGCCGTTCCGTTCTCATGTCTATTCTGTGTCAGTTGTCTCGGTTGATGGTCAGCCATCGACCCATCGCAGGGAATCCCAGTAGCATGCACCCCACTCCACTTTGTTCTGTCTACCTCCCGTCTCCCCCATTGCAGTAGCTGATCAACACTTGAGAGGAGTAGCATACACCCCCCTCTACTTTGTCATGTCTATCTCCTATCTCTCTCTCCCTAATGAGCTGCCCCAACATCCACTACCGTACTCTTGACTAATTGGGATTTCCACACGCCAGCAGCGCATCCCTCGCTACAAGTAAAGTACTTGAAGGTTGTTGCCTCTCTCTTGAACCTCTGGAGCTATGGCTCCCTCCTTCGCCATTAACGAAGAAGCCTTGCTGGTGAACTCCTCTTTCCCCCAGATCTACTACTGATGTGAAAGTTCCTTCCGCCCGTCCCCTCCAATCGGACTAAGACCCTCTCCTCCTCCCCTTCCCCCCCCCGCCCCCCCCCCTCTTCATCTCGCCAACCTACTTTTGCTCCCACCTCAATCCAGTCACCCCACTTCAACTTCATGCAGTCCTAACCCGATATTAATTTGCCCTGATCACCTCGGATTGTTCACCTCTCAACAGCATGTAAGTAAAGCTCTGATACCAAATTGCTATGATCTTGTCCATTTCATGTTGCAAAACTCAAATGTCATTCAATGCCATTCCTCAAAATTCAAACAGAAATGAGTACAGAAGAAGAAGAAGAAGAAGAAGAAGAAGAAGAAGAAGAAGGAAAGAAAGAAGGAAGAAGGAAGGAGGAAGAGGAAGAAAGAAGGGAGAAAGAAGAAAGGACAGAGGAAGAAGAAGAAGAAGCTGGAAACAATGTCATTTCCCCCCTCGACTCCCACCACCATCTCGTTCTCATCATCTCCTCCACTTTGTCCATAAGCAGTTAACAGGGACCCCCACTTTTCAGCCCCAGTTAACCCCCTCAACCCTGAAAAGTGCATACCACTGTAGAACAAGATCTCCTTCACTCCCCCACTCCACTCCACTTGGTATTGCTACTGGATATGGTGGGTCACCCATGACTGGCACAGATGTTCAAAGGCAAACTACTCTTTATACCTCTCCTCTACGCTACCACCATAACTACGCTCTGATGAAGTCCATGACCAGCCGGTGGACCAACAAGGGCCTCCATGATGCAGCGTCAACTAGGAAGAAAAGATCTAGGACCACCGTAGCCAAAGGTGAGTATCTTTATTGATTCCCACCTAAACCTCTACTTAAATCCAAAGCACAACTGGAAGGTCGCTCTCTCTACCTCCATGGCCTAGGGCTTCTCCTACCTCCCACTACTACTTGATAGCCACGGAGGTCTTTCTTGCCAGTAAGCTCCTCGTCCACTTCCAAGTGCTCCCCCTCACTCTCATTCTGGTGAAAGGATTTCACGCTGTGATCATGTCCCAAGTCCCGGTCCCAGAGTCCCACGTCAGCCCAGTCCCAGTTGGTTCCCGTAGGTCCCAGGTCCAGGTCCATAGGGACCGGTAGTTAGGCCGTTAGAAGTCGAAGGCTGGTACTCGACAAGAAAAGTCTGCAGTCCCAAAGTCCAATTTTGCAGCACCATCCTGGGCAAGTCCGGTAAGTTCCAGAACTGACATACTGCAGCCGACAGGCCACATCGACCGGTACCGGTCCGGAGCCAACAACAATTCACTTCAACTGCTATTTATAGTTGATTCACTCAGCTGCTATTTATAGTTGCTGCAGTGCTTCATCAGATCACTTGTCAATTCGCATGTTACGCAAGCTCTGCTGTAGCGCTTGTGCGACCAACGTGTTGGACAGTCGAGTGAAGGTTGAAAACGAAGGGCGGCACCATAGTGAGGGTAGTTGAGGAGGAAGATGCTGCCATGGCCGCAACATCGAAGGTAGACGACGTAGGCAGGAAGACGAGTGTATTCAGGAAGTGAGAGTGAACGAACAAGAGAGAGAGAGAGAGAGAGAGAGAGAGAGAGAGAGAGAGAGAGAGAGAGAGAGAGAGAGAGAGAGAGAGAGAGAGAGAGAGAGAGAGAGAGAGGGAGAGAGAGAGAGAGAGAGAGAGAGAGAGAGAGAGAGAGAGAGAGAGAGAGAGAGAGAGAGGAAGTGGGCTTACCTGTTCGGGTTCATTGGCGATAGCGGCCATTGTAATCAAACTCAGTTCTTGTATTATAAAAAGTGTTTCGGAGGCGATTTCATCTTCTTGGTGTTGACTTGTCATTGCAATGTTGATGTGAATCTTCTGTGAGAATTCTGCATGTTTCAAGTTCATTTGGTGGTGGTTTGCAGTGGGTTCCTCGTGCTGGGCAGAGCAGCAGCATGACTGTTGGGTGGTGAGCGGACTGCTCATTGCACCATATGGTATATTCTCTACTTCCCCGCCTCCAGTACCTCTTGGCCGAGGCAATACCAGCCTCCCCAGGGTCCCTTGAGTGCACTAGCCTACCAGCTGTTCCCCTCTTTTGGCAAAAACATCATGGCAGGGCCCAAATCTATCCCTACAAGCTACCTACATTCGGACCTAGCCATCACGACCTCTTGGCAAGCTATCAGACCCTTCTAGGCCTTGCCGACATGGGGGAAAATCCCTGACAGGTCCCTAACAAATCCTACCTATTCCCCTGGCCATCCTTCCAACCCCACTATGTCCCTGTGGCTAACTTTCAGTCTTGTCCCTGAATCCACTGTTTCTACCTTGTCCCTGTCTTATGCACAGATATCAGACCCTTCTAGGTCTTGCCAACGTGGCCCGGAATCCCTACCAGGTCCCTAACAAATTCTACTAAACCCACTGGCCATCCTTCTCATCCAAGTATGTCTCCGCAGCTACCTTTTCGCCCTGTCCCCGAACCTCTACTATTTCTACCTTGTCCTTGTCCGATGCAAAGACGATTTCTACCTTGTCCTTGTCCGATGCAAAGACACAAACGGCCACCAGAGTTGGCACAGGGACTCTGATTACGACCCAGAATTCAGCAGGCAAGCACATGGCATGCATACATCATCAGCAGGTGCAATCATACTCGTTTTCAAACACACTTTTCATGCATGTAAACAGCAACGCAGCATACTGGCGACATGCGCCCACACAAGACTCAGAGATAT